AGTAATGTGAGCATTACTCTGTTCCAGTTTTGAACGGTAAGGGTGCTGGTGAAATTACAGACGCAGTGGCAGAGCTCCTCAGATCTTTGCGTCTTAAAGCTCTCAGTGGTACTGTAACTACTACGTACAGGCGTGTCGCTTACGACCGCCTTGTTGCACGACATATTGTATCATAAAAATGGGGTATTATAAAAGATTACCTTAATCTTCATAATTGAAATTTAAATTTAAGTCTATGATGGTTGTTATAATAGAGGTCCAAATTTCTTCGATATCATTCTTGTTTACTCGTAAGACAAATATTATCACGAATGAATAAAATTTAAAAGAGTTGCTCTTTTAAATGTCAGGACAATTTACCTTAATTAGTAGTGCGGCGGAATTTATTGAATGTAACAAAAAGGTAGAAATAATACGTGATGATGAAAGTATTCGTGATCCTGCAGTACAAAAGTAATCAGAAACAAAAGCAAATCGACTTTCCGCCGCCGTCGGCACTGCTTTTAGCTACATCCTGTGTTTTTTTAATGAAAACGCTACAATGCCAAGCGACTATGATACGCGTTTGTTTAAAAAGCGTCCATTCGCTTTAGCCTTAAATAGCCTCCAAATTGTAGTTGTTGGGAGACACAGATGTAAACTGATGTCGTATCAATCAATGCAATGTCCCAATTTTTACGACCCCCTTTCAGTCAAGTACATCAGATACTTAGTCAAGAATTCAAATCGACACAGAATGGTGAAACGAAGTCGGAGTTGGGATAGAAATTATCCGATACTTATAATTTGTCCACTCTAATTCTTAGTTTTATCTTTAATTTTTGACCTCTTATGAAAATACATACAAAAAGACATTTATAATGTATTGTTTTACTATTTGATAATCTCAGTACAGAGTTATAAATAACAAATATAAGTTTTATTGAAATCGGTTACCGGAAAGTGCGCAAAACGGATTCATCCTCTGGTTTAACACCTTACAGGTGGAATATTTTCTTCAAATTTAAATAGGACCACTACCGAGGTACCCTCTTTCCAACAGAGAGTCATCAATCAATCGGTCCACAAACAAAAAACAAGAGTTATCGCGTAACATACATACAAAAAAAAACAGTCGAATTTCCTCCTTTTTTCAAGTCGGTTAAAATCTAAAAATAGCGCCTGAATTTTATTATAAGGAGCAATTATTTTAATGGTTGGTTTTGCTATTCTCCAATTCAAGGCGTCTTTCTCTCAATATACTTTGAGTAGTGAGAACCGATTTTTATTATCTCCAGTGTCAAGTTCCGTATAGTGGCGAACTAGGGGATGAATCCGGGTTTGCGCACTTTCCGGTAACCGATTTCAATAAAACTTGGCAAATAGATGTCATTGTATTTCCACGTACTTATGAGGTCGGTTTTTCTAGTACTCTATACTGAGATTATCGTTTTGCAATATTTAACACATGTGTTTCTTTCATTTAGTTCGTAGTATTTTATAAATTTCAAATATTAAAAGTACTTTTGACGTATGATCACATGGGGTACGAAATATCGAATTTATCGTTACCGATTGACATACACGCGTATAGATTAATAATTCAGAACATGTTCCATTGTTACGTGTGTTCTCGAAGTAGAGTGTGTTGAATAGTCGTTAGTTAAGTATGTACTCAAATAGGAGCTTCACAGTTTAGTATATTTGATATATCGCACTTTTAATACAATAGTGTATCAACTCAAAAAGTGTATTTTTCAGAATAGATGAAAAACTAATGACATACCTCCTGTTAAAGGTTATTAAAATTCATGTACAGTTTGTTAGAGACATCTAAACAATTTTCTACTTAGGAAATGAAACTATTTTTCCGGGTTTAAATCGCGTATATATTATTTGTTCTCAAACAAACCGACGTGGCCATGGCCACCGTTGACTCAATATCCTATGTGTAACAATCGCGAAAACCTAAGAACTCGATAATTTTCTACTTGCCAAACATATTTAAAAATATAAGGGACAAACAATAATTTTAGAGTGAGGAATATTTTGTACAAAATTAGCTCACCAAAGTCTCATTTTGAGTTTACTTAACTGATATATTTTAGTTGTTATTCACTATAATCTAACGACGGTTTTATTGATGTGTAGTCAATCTTATTTTACATTCAGCAATAGTATAATCTTGAATTTCACATATTTTGAGTTAGACACTGTTGTAATAGCAGTGCGATGTATCTCGTTCATTATATAAACGCTGGTTTGCAACAAATATACGCGATTTAAATCCGAATATATATTCGGATTTAAATCGCATAATATAAGAAATAAAGAATAGAATAATAATGCAGGCGTTAGGTAGGTAGCAGTGTCCTTTTAATGGTAAAGAAGACCTAGAATCTCTAGGGTCTTAGTGAACTGACATATTTTCGGTGAACACGCACAGTGTGATATTAGCGAGAGCTCGGAATTGCATACGTAGTGATATTTGTGTGTTTAGAACTGGCTTAGAACAATAATTTGTGATTGCATTTGTGATTTTTTACTTGTAGTTTTTATGTGAACGGCACACCACTACATATGCAATTTTAAGCCCTTCCTAATATCAGACCACGTCGAGATGGGAGCTTAAGATGTATATTCAACTCTTTCTCTCTTGTAATAAGAACGATAATGTAATGTCCATAGCGACCAGCTTGATGTGCTCTTGGCTGTACCACTATCTTCCACATTTGGGTTGCTTTTGGTTCGTTTGTTTAAAGTTAATGCAATTTTGTCTAATCGTCGTTCGGGGTTCGAACTGTTGACGCTACATGAGAAGGCTTTGGGTTCGATTCCGGTGGGACCAATTCAGAAAGGGTATTTTTTCAAATCATTTCGTCTTTGGGGTTCCAAGAAAACAGAGAGAATTCCCCACTTTGAGGTCAGATATTTGATGTGATATATATTATTATTCTACCGTACTGCAGTAAGATGCCGGCAGTTCTTGAGCCCAGTGGCTTCTGTCGCAGTGACCGCAACAGGCTCAAATACGCCAACCTTGTTCAGTGCTACAGCTTTGTGCCTTCAGGAGAAACTTTTAGCGAACGAGCTGTCGGATCTCCTCGTAGAAGCCTCCGGTGACCACAAGCCTGGCCGTTATTTCCGCCAAAGAATAAGTTTGGCAATTCAAAGGAGAAATGTTGCCAGCCTTCTGGGATTTTTTTCTACTTTTTTACTTACTTTTATATGTATATAATAGTTATAGTTTAGATATGTGTAATACAATTAACTGCAACATAAAAAAATAGATATTGGTAAAATACAGTTCCAAATCCATCAAGGCCAATTTTCTCTCATATCTTTTAAATACTGTGTCTTAGAATACACTTTGTAGTATACAATGACATTGTTAAGTAGGTGCCTATAAACAAGAATATAAGCTACCTACGAAGCGAGGGAACTTGAAGCTTTAAGGTTTTAACCCTCGCCGTGTGGGTTTCCAAAGTGGCCCGGGAACTAATGGGCTCGGCAATTACTAAGGCGCGTCGCCATCCGACGACGCCGACGGCCTCCATTCGCTTCTGCCAATTAGCAAGCGCTAGTGATGGGCGTGTTTCGTAATAGTTATTGCAGTTTTCTGACAAAAAGTAACAGAAATCTTTGAAACAATATTCTTTGATCCTCAAAGATATAACTGATATATTGTAAATGTGGATTTAAAGGTTTATAAGTAAACGATATTTTTTTTTATATATAAAGATAAATTATAAACGAACTGCATTCAAGTTAACGCTATCATTATGTAAGCATACTAAAATTATTAAATTAATGTCAAAAATAATAACTGATCCTCTTTTTTCTTATAAGTCAAATTTTGGTTGAGCCATTCAGTAGATTAGGTTGAAATGTATTTGCTTGCGTTTCCGAACAGAGTTTCAAGTTTTTTATTACTCATTTTGTCTTAATTTTGAGGCACAACATGAAACTATCAAAGTTAATTTATGTAAATCAAACATTAGCTCTGAACAGATTAAAACTTACATTGATTTAATTTACTTTATGTGTCGGAGAAAAATTATCAGTCATTAAAAAAGTAACCGTTTCGATTTTTTTGCTTGCTGCTTTTGCAAATTTAAAATGAACATTTAAATACATGCCAAAAACATTTAGTGAAGAAAAGAACTTTCGTTGGTTTCTCACAGGTGGCGCTACGGCAAATTAGCGGTTTAAACCCCTCAATAAGGTGCTAGATTGATATTGGGTGCTAGCATTTTTTATGACTTATTTTTTATAATTTTGAATAGGACCACTCTATATATGTATGTCATGAAGGTCAAACAAAATATCTATCGATAAACGTAGACTTACCAAATTTATTGAAGATTGATCAGAGTTACGAAGAATATTTACAATAACCGATACAAGTAAAATAATAATAAGCGTAGTAAATCCCGTCACTACTCGCCCTCCATTCCCGCTGCCACGACGACGGGCGTTCCAAGAAGCGCGCCGGTTTCGCGCCAAATAAAAATAAATTGTGCGAAATATCGCGCTAGGTGTCTCTAGATACAAATTATGCAGACAACGTTGCTTCTCGCCGCGACTATTACGAGGGTTTTTGGAAAATATCTTAGCAAGGAATTTTCTTTTTTGTTAGGTACTTATGTTATAATTAGTTTCGATACATTCTTCCTAAAACTAAATACAGTTATGGTATTTAAGAGTGTGTTTTACAAGGCACAAAGATTTAAAAAATTTAATTATTGTGTTTAAAGAGAACTTTATCCAAATACTTGATTACTTTTTAGTTTATACTTGTGCCGCCCTCTATTGTTACAACTTATCACTTCATAAAGATGCCACCTAGCGTTGAGTTGAAAAACGAGACGGTGTCGACTGTAACGCCAAAGCGAATTTGATTTAGTAAATCTATGTCATGATAGGTGGCGCCGTGCATGCGATAATGCGCGTACCTTACCGAACAAGTTTTAGCACTTCAATCAACTTCAATAAAACTAAAATATACTCTTTTGTTCCAGAATGCACCCAATCAAGAGCCTGTGTACAGAAAAGTGGCCATAGTTGAAAACTTTTTTGACATTATCTACACTGTTCATGTAGAGCTGGAAGGAAGACCCGGAAAACATGCTGGACAGAAAAGAACATACAGAACTGTAAGTTACATACAAGTCACGTGTAGAATGTTGGTAATGTTTTGTAAAAATATAATATAATATCAGAAGAGTTATAAAATTTCTTTTTAAATAACAATTAAGTATCAAGTGAAGCGCCACCTATGACCGAGTGGGTAAACTACACAGAAATCAAGCGGTGTTATCTGTCGTTTGGAGTCAACAGAGTCAACTTCTTCTCTTTAGTACCGACAGATGGCGCACTTTGCTTATTGTAAACATACAAACGGGTGCCTATTATTACGAGCTGCTTATAATGTTATTGATGTAAGAAGGGTTGTCATAATGATTATGATAGTTAATGCAATCAGTACCATAAGGATACGCTATTTTGAGACAGATGTTTCCATTGATTTGTGTGTGTAACGTAGAACATATTTTGTTTTCCTGTAGATTAAGAAAACTTGCCACTAATCAAAACTTTTTTGCCAACAGATTACGGAGACCTACGCGTTTCTGCCTAGGGAAGCCGTCACGCGTTTCCTGACCGGATGCGCGGAGTGCGCGCGGCGCCCGCGCAGTGCCTCTCCCCCACCTCTTCCCACTCCCTCTCCTTCCCCTACCAGACACCCTACCTACCTCCCATTCCTACCACATTGTACCACCACAGACTACTCTCGAAACTGGGAAAGCGAAATCGACGCCGCGCACTCAAATTACGTTTACGAACCAAAATACACCGAATTACAACCTTTGAAAAAGGTTCAAAGTCCCAAAACCGCTGAAACCGAAGACCCGGAACCTACATACATAGAACTGACTTCGAAAAAAGTCAACGGATTTGATTCAACGCCACTTTTCAATAGAAGTTCACCTGTCGAACCTGCATTTAGAGAAGAACAACCTGTCCAAACGGACCCTGAGATAGACAAGGACGAAAACAGCTTGATAGACGTTGAAGACGTCAGGAATGATAGTCCACTACCTTTGGCATCCAAAAACGACGTAGAACCAGGCGAAATTATTAGTAGAGTTGCTACTGAAAGTACTAAGCTGGTAGAAAATGAAGGAGTTAAGGAAAACTCTAAAATAGTGGAAGTGACTGAGACAAAGACTGAAGTGAAAGAGAAGAAATATAACCCTTTAGATGTTGCAAATTTGACATCTAAAGACCCACCAAAATCTCGTTCTCCGCCTAGAAAGAAATTACTGGCTACTAGCAACGACTGTGTGAGTACATTTGGAAGGTATCCAAGACCTTGGAGACCAGACGGTGGGCTTTATTACGGTGGTGAAGAGGTTGATTATAGCGTGCCGATAACGACTGCATATTTGAAGCATATGAGGAGTATGGCGTACCAGGAGCGCGTCGTTTTGGACAGTAAGGTAAGTAAAGTATCACTTTGGCAGATAATGTTTATGTAAGTTAGCGGTTGCGTTTTGTGGCATCGTTATAAAACCAATATTTGTATTTATATTTACTATAAGTTCTATCATCAGGCACTCTAAATAACAGTGGTGCAAGAAAATAAAAAAAATAAGCGCACCGGTGGTTCGGGAGTTGACAATGCGATTAGCGACTTCAGAAATGGCGGGTTTTAATAGTTACATTTTTTACACGAATTAATTTTTAGTTTATGTATAATTACGTTGTGCGTTCTTGTTAATTTGTTTCCATTAAGCTGATGGCTCTGAAGTCAATGCTTTATAAATAAATGAATAATCAGGAGCTGAAAAAAAAGCGAGAGAGATGAGTGTCATTTGGACGTAATTTTTGAATGTGGAAAAAAACGAAAATTTACTGTATACGTATTGTATGGTTTATATTATTAAACTATTAATAACATCCGGAAGGTGAGGTTTATATGCAGAAGGTACTTCTAATCGTTTTCAGAGACAGTTGTCACACTGACGACCATTGTACGACCGCGTATAAAAATATAAATTTTTGTAAACAAAAAACTTATTTTTCTTGTGGCCGCTAGTTTTCTCTCTGCCCAATACGTGTTGCACAGTTTGCCATATTCTGACATTATAAACTTATGGCGGTTACATGATATTTAAAAGGAGTTAAATGCTACGGATTCTTTCTACATGTTTTCCATTTTTTACACAAGTATATTCTTATTTGACAGATTGTTACCATTTATAATAATGTTTTTATTTGACAACATTGGATCCCAGCGGTTAGCGTTATGGACGATTGATGGGAAGATTAAAGGGATCAACCAATAGAAACCTAGTTTTTTTAAACCGTTTCTGATTGCTTTCAGTATATCCCCGGTGTTAATTTCTTTGCTCTTGTACACACAGTAGAGGTGTTTGTTTGACCCGGTGTTGTTATCTGGTACGTTATTATAATAGATAATAATAATAAAATCTATAATTATATTTTATCTCAAAATTGCGTTATATTAATAAATTATCTTCAAAATTTCGCTATATTTATGTGTCATTCATATACGATTTAATTTCAAAGTGACAGGACAGCACTGTCGCTTTAAAACTGAATAGGTAATATTAATATAACATAAAACCATTTAGATTTTTTGACCATAATACTATGTAAGTTGTCATGTGCGATATGTTATTCCTATTTATGTTAATAGAGTATGTGTTTTGGGCTTTGTGAACTACCAGATTGGGATCTTTGTCTGCTGGCAGGTTGTTGAGAGTATTTATAAAAAATCTGAAGATAATTATGAAATTAATTGGATAAACAAAACGTTAATACCGAAGCTATGTCGCGCCATGTATGATATAAGTATGAGGCGTGAAAATTGTCGTTAGTAAAGTCGAAACCAAACAAAAAGCACTTCCCTTAATAAAATCTTGCCGACACTTAAACAGAACTTATTGGCACACAAAGTGTTAGTAAATTTAATTTGCTGGTTAACTTATTCTACACACCAAATTTAGCACAAAATGTAGTATTTCATAATACGTGGAAAATTTTAGGCAAGCTGGTGAAAATCCAGTTATATGGACACCTCGCCACTGATAGGTATACGATTTGCCGCTTCGAAACGTATGCAAACACTTCAAATGTCAATTTAAAAAAAGTCATCATGAACACGAAATCAGTGTTTCCAATTTTCATTTTCAAATATTCCAAGAGTTAACGAAACGGTCGGACGCGACGACTTATTTACATGATTTTTTTAGTATTATAATATTAAGTCAAAATTAAAGTCACCAAACTAAGAATCAGCATGGATAATTATCCATTATTATTATTATTATTACGATCAATTATTATGATAATTATCAAAGACAATTTATCTTGATAACGCTGAATCCTGTAATAATTGTATTGTATACAATTAATGTGCAAATTATTAACATAGACATAAACCTGTTAATATTTTTTCCTTTTGCCTGCGCACGCTGTTGGTCGTGTAAAAAATGATTACATACAGTTTATTTTCAGTCCAGAAGAGTTTTAAAACAGTTAACCCTTGCGGCATAACTTTTAGAACTGGCAGGCGAGTCGGGACTCTGCGGCCCACAGGCTCGCTTTGAACCTTTGAACGTTATGATTTCTCTCTTGATCAAATATGAAACTTTCGGATTTGGCTTATTGTGGTCGGAGATTATCTAAAATATTAAATGTATTTATGAGCGGGGTCAATGTAAGGTTTACAATAACCAAGGCGCCATTAAACAAAAGCGCTTTTTAATTGCATCAACGCAAGTATTCGATATTATTATTATTAAGGTGGCTTCATTCGGGGCCTATGTCTGTGGGGGCCCCCCCATCACTGCGACCATTGACGATCTATTGTGATCACCACTAATTACAGTTCGGAGCCAAGATCAACAGCATTAGAGAACTGAAAGACTCTCCTGACTCTAACAGTTTTTATGTTCTCTGGTTGTGGCCTGTGCCTACCCAGTATGGAACTTCGTACGCCTATTAGGGGGCAGCACCGGGGAAGGAGATGCACAGGAGTTTCATTCGCCTCGTGGCAGAATCTACATTCTCTATTTTCTCTCTGCCCAATATTTCGACTCATCCGTAGAACAAAGATCTATAGACTACTACAAGACTACTTGTTCTTAGGACATAGTACATTCTTCTTCGCTGTGGATGTCAAATCGACCGTTGCTTGATTTTGTATTTCCGAAATGAAATAAGATATATAAATTCTCAAAACACCTTTACGTAAGCCTTAGTTTGAATAACGTACTTATTCTCTTTTCGCTATATAATCACATTGGACTCTGTTCTTCGGTTGAGTCGATTTGTGTATGTGCTTGTTCAAGCAACAATGCCCTGTTAAGACTCTAGTCAGCATTCTGATGCCGTGTATCCGATAAAGCACGGTGTATAATAATAATAATATAATTAATTTATTTGTGAAAATACAGGTTATATTACAAGCTGACATGTACATAATCTCAGTACACAGTACTAAAGAAACCGACCTTAAAAATTCGTGGAATTACATATATTTGCCAAGTTTTATTGGAATCGGCTACCGGAAAGTGCGCGTAACCATATTCATTCCCTAGTTTGCCACTCTTAGGGTCATATTCTAGAACTCTACTTAATGCTCAAGTCAGGATTTGAGTATGGTTTAAAGCGCTCGAAATCATACTCAAGTCCCTACCATTAGGGTCGTATTTCCAGTGCTTGTGTTTCCAGTGCAATCCTGACTTGAGCATTGAGTAGAGTTCTAGAATACGAACCTTAGAGTTGGAAGATTTCCTTCAAATTTAAATGGAACTACTACTGAGGTACACTCTTTCCAATAAAAAAAAAATCATCAAAATCGGTTCATAAATTATTTAATTATCGCGTACAAAAAAAAACATACAATCGAATTGAGAACCTCCTTCTTTTTTCAACTCGGTTAAAAATAAATATAGTTTTTGTGTCCGATCAAACTTTAGAGGCATACAAATATTGAAGGTATATTGTACATACCCTCACATGCACTTCGACAGCCTAAACCTAAAAAATAGGTACCTAAGTAGATAAACACTTCAATGTGTGCCTTATATTTTACAGTTTTAAAACCTATAGTCAATCTTTTTACTCGAGTACCTTGTGGATTAGGAATACGAAACGATATACCTATAACGCCCTGCGTGTACAGTACAATAACGCATTTGGAGTGCAGAAGGGGCTACCAAGCAGGTGTAGTCCTTCAAGCATGTTTGTGGAGGCTCTTACGGACAGTTTCCAGGCCCTTATGCGGAAGAAGATTGTCTCGCTGTTGAATCGTGTGACGCAAAGTCTGGAAGATATGATGGTCCGCTACTGAAATGCTAGATACAGCAAAAGGGAGTAGCCCAATTTGTAATATAATTTTAATTTTCTGTACTTTTAATTTTATTTTGTGATTTTCTAATCTTGATTTAAATTTTATAACTGAAATTTGTGACATTGAAAAGATTAAACCTTTTAATTTTGTATTTTTGTTAATTTGAATTCATTGTTCATAATTGTTTAATTCTATTTTAATTACTATTTTAAAAATTATTGAATATTTTCAAAATTATGAAGTGTATTTTCTTAGACTTAAATTTAACTCTATGCCGCTTGCAATACGAACGGGCCAAAGTCCAAAGTGTCAAGCTTGATGTGCTCTTGACTGTACTATGGTCTACGGATTGTTATTATTATTATCTATATTAACTGACTAATATTAATATTAGCACCTAAATTAATACAATATCTCTATCAAGAACTTTTCTGTGAATGACCAGAAGAGCCCCTAGCGGTCACAATAAGAAGTAACAATATTTCGTATACAAGAACATTACGCGGTATAAAGCTACTACTGTCACAGTAAACTGGAATGACACTTCATAATATGGTACCCTTGGTGTAATAAAGCCACTTTTGATCATACGTCAAAAGTGCTTTTAACAAGCCCCGAAAAGTAAATAAAAAATGATATTCAAAATATGAATTCGATATTCTAAGCTACGAAAACTGTTGTGCAAATAAAAATACGAAAATAATCGAACGATATACTGAAAGTTCCGAAAACTCTTTCCGACATAATACTACTTACTCTACCTACTTAATCTTTATTTTACCGAAAATTATTATTAGCCATTTTTATCGTCAATTATAATATAATTTGACCTGAAAATATGTTTGGTAACGTAAACAAATACGCTTCTGCTTTTTCATATATTAACCTAACCTAACTTACTTTTGTGTGTAGAATCTTTAAACCTCTCTACTGAAAACTTGTCATATCACGTTAATAAATACGTTTGAGTTTTAAAACTTTCAATTTCTGTAATATTTTCTTTTATTCCCTATTGATGATATAACACTGCATGTTTTTAACTTTTGCGTGAAAATTGCTCAAAAACTTCTAACCAATCTACTAGGTTCGCATAAATCGGGTAGCACCTGACGTTTA